GGGCATACCTAACTCATGAGGAAGCTCGTGGCAGAACACAGCGATCGTAGTGCTGAGTCCACCCGTCAGACTCTGAGAAAATGCAACACCTGGAGGAGAACCAGAAAATTGCGTTTTAATTGTTCTAAGTGCAAGTTAAATCTATTAAGATTAAAGTGTCATCATTGTTTTAAAAGTGTTTTTATTCCTAAATGAAAGCAACCGTACGTCGTTTTGTGTTGTTGTTGTTTTTGCGACTTCGGAGCCCTCTGCAGTTAAGTGAGTGGAATTCACTGTTGTAAATATATCACTGTCGTAATTACAGTAGGCTACTGTACACGTGAATTTGTTGCTGCCATAAAGCAATTATTCGCCTTTTCGCGGGATTTCGTACCCGCTCGCACCTCATGTTTCCTTTTCTTTAAATTCTGTTTGAAGAAGGGGCAAAAAAATCCATTAATGGAAAACTTCTCCAGATCTCTTTCCCCAAAATAAATAATAATTAAAGTCCCACTGGATGAAACTTAGCCTTGAAATGCTGTTTAAGTCCCAGAAGGCTCTCAAAGGCAAACAGAAGGTAAAGTCCTCCCAACACGCTCAGACCCTTGAAAACAGCGTCCTGATGTTCAATGTGCTGACTGAAGATGGCCTAGAATCACAAATAATATACATCTGTAGCATCTGTATTACAGAAGGTCAAGGTCAACTTTATTATGCTTATTATGCTTAATTTTGTATTGTGCTTCTTACATGGGGCAGGAGGTGCAGGAGGGCATCTCCGCATAACGTGCCCACTGCCATGCCAGCCATCGGGCAGAGGAATATTTGAAGGATGGAAGGTTGAAGCAGGGGTGCCAGTCCCAGGGCAACCAGGGAAGGCAAACTGATAACAAAGAGTGCCAAGGAGGCCCATCCTAGTGCTGAGATACAATGACTTTGTTTAACCTGCACTATCATGAAAACAAACAAAAAATTGATTCTGAGATCACACTTGACAGAAACCGTGTACACACACACACACACCTCTCAGGAAACCCTCACTGGTTTTGCTTCCCTGGGACTGCTCCTCTGTGTGCCACAGACACACTCCGCTGTCGATCTGGTACAGGAGGGCAGGACACAGGAAGGTGAAATGGGCAGGAGTGATATGGGACGCTTGGCCTAACCCGAAGTTCCACAGGAGCTGGGTAACATTTAGACACTGCAATAAGGGAGAAAGAAATATGAGATGAGAGTCAGATTCAACATTATTACATGGCTCTCTGAAATACTCGATTATGATTGGTCATTCAAAGCTTGCGCTACTTCCATGTCTCTCGTATCACACCGCAGACTCACTTTCTCTTGTTTTCTACAAACACAACTGATGCTGTGTTCTGTATCAGTTATCAGCCGTAGTGAAAATGACCTCAGAGGACTTTAAGTTTTAATATTACTGTAACGTTGCAGTGGTCATGTCACTTTTGTGCATTGTAATGGACTGTTTATTTCCTTATTGAACAATTTACAACAATATACAGGCAAAATTATACTGATTTATTTTGCTGTAATGAGGCCTGACTTTACTGTATTACTATAAAAGTTGAAATTATGAGGTAAAAAGTTAACATTTTGGTATACTATATCATAATTATGTGATTAAAAAGTCAAAATTGTTACATAAAAAGTCATTATACGGCAACATTTTTCATGTCATAATTATGACTTTTTATCTTATAATTTTGAATTTTGTCCATTTTTATTTAATGATTTCAAACTTGTCAATTGTTTTTCTCATAATTTTGACTTTGTCACAATTCCAGATACTTCTGACATATTTCTGACTTTTGTATATTTTAACTCATAATTTTGATGTTTTGTAGCATTACTTTTTTATTTTTTACATAATTTTGACTTTTAGATTATATAATAATTACTATGATTTTAACTCATAATTTTGATTTTATCTCATAACTGTGCTATGTAATAATTATGGCTTTTTAGTTCGTAATTATGACATTTTAGCTCATCATTTGGATGTTTTATATCACTTTTTACTTTTTATGTTACAATTATGACTATTATCTCATAATAATAACTTTTTCTCATAATTTTGACTTTTTGAATTATGACTAGATATTTTATCATTTTGACTTTTTATCTCATAATTACAATTTAGTATCTCATAATTTCAAAGAAAAAGGCTTCCATACTTACATAGGCCTATGTGTTTACATATTGCATATATTGTGATGTAGATGTTAATCCACAGTTGAGCATGTTTGTGTGCTGGTAGTCCAAGAAGGCTTCTTGAGTAGTTTAACCAGCATAATCTGATCAACCAGCATTACCAGAAGATTCGTGATGGTCAACCATCTTTGCAAACGTTTTCCAGAGTTTTGCAGATATACAGCATTACAGGTGCATCTCAATAAATTAGAATGTCGTGGAAAAGTTCATTTATTTCAGTAATTCAACTCAAATCTGGTCCACCATCTAAACCAGCACTAACCAGCTTAAACCAGTCCTCTCAGCAGAGACCTCTAACATGATTATCTCTCTCCAAAATAGTTTGTGTACCTCACTGTCTGCACACCTCAAGATATCAACAGACCTTTGGTCAGGTGATAGTGAAGAGAATTCGGTGGTAGACTTTGTCCATTTGTAACACTCTAACAGGACGTTTAGGAGTAAATACTCACATTCCCATGAAGATGTTTCTCTGTCGGATGGTCTGACAGCGGTGACACATTTTCTTCCAGTTTGTGTCTTAGACCAGGGTGTGGAAAATAGTCTGAGTGACCCCATTCTGCAGGAGATCCACTGAGCACTGACTTAATGTGAGGTCTAGGATAGAATATTTGAATGGATTAGTCATTGGAATGAGCATAAAACTATACTTGAATTATATAAACAATAACCAGATCAAATACAGGGGAATTCAACTCTGGTTTTGTGGGAATAATAAAAGGTTACATTTTAAAAAGCTGACTTTATAGTAAATAGCCACAGTAAGTGTAAAAAAAGACTGTAAATTGATAGAGTAGAAAATATTACAATAATGCTTTAGCCATATTACCTTTCTTTGAGTGGAGGTGAGTTTGTGGTCCTTTGAGGATGATGATGGTCTTCATGTGAGTGGGAATGGGATTGGGGTTGAGAAGATTGCTTCACTCCACCATGTCGGATCTCCAAGACACTGACCTCCCCAAGACCTAAACTGCCAAGCAACTTCTGCAGACCCTCATAGGTCAAAGTCCCATTGTCCCCATACTGAAGAAATAGGCGTTGCAAGTAGTAGCCCTTGGAAGAAGATTAAATCTGACTATTTTACCAACAGACATCATTTTCAGGGTTCACACGTCAATGTCTTTATGATAGTGCTTTGGTGACATAAACTTAGTATGCAACCGTAACTCCACATACGTACTGAAACCACAACTCTAACCTTGTTAAATTTGAGTGATTGCATCAGTCATTGTTGATAAGATTTTTGCACTCAGTGTAACCCTCAAGCAAAAAGCACTTGATCTCTTAATGTTTTGAAAAATCCCTCAAGGAATGTGGTCGATCTACTTTACTAGACATGTAGGGACGAGTAAATCTCAATAGTCACTGTCAATTCTTAAAGACAAGAAACAAAAGTAATCATTGCTTACTTAAACGTTATGATTTGACTCGTCCAAAGAATAGAATCATCCAAATGTACCTGCTCTTCAAAAGCTTCCTCTAAGTGTTCCTGTGTAGATTTGACTTGTGTGCTTTCATTCGACTTTCTGAGCTTGTCGACCTGGACATGTGTTGCCAGTACAAGTATGGCTGGTTTCATCACAGAAATCATACAGTGGTAGAGCAGAAGATTGAAGCTCAGATTCGTCCTTAGGGAAAGTATACCAATAAATATGAATTATTTAGGCCTCAGCAATCAATATAACACAATTTTAATTAAACAAGCATAATTCAATAGGCATTTATAAATAAATCCATATTGCAGTTGGTAAAAATAAATTACAATCCATACTGTAAAAATCATGAGTGAGAGCTCTATAATATCTCTCATGTTCCTTCTAGATGGGAATGAGGTTTAAGGGAGACCAGATTGAGACTTTTACTCAAGTTTCCTGCTTCTCTGAATATTCCTCTGAGAAAATAATCCTAATACTCTCACAGGTTTCTCCTACAGTTTAGAATAAATCTCAACAAAATTCCCCAAGATACCAACAGCTGCATTCAAAAGCAGGTATATCTAGCAGAGTATTGCATTGTATTTCAGAAACATGTAAGAAACATTCAGAGCTATGAAAGAGCAACATTTGATCAATGTATAGCAATAAAAACTTTAGATAAAGACTCTAAAATCAAAAGCATACAGAAAGCACATTGCAAAGTCAAGCAAAGTACTTAAAGACTCCAAAATGCCATCTTAAAGAATTTATGCTTTAACTCTAATTAACTCTTTACCAGACTGTCTGTCCACCCATGATTTTTTTTTTTGCAGTCTCTTAATCCCATTACATGATTTCCAGTAACTTATCCTCTCTGTATCCTAGTGTTTAAGCATGAGGCATGACACTTTTTTTATGAAGAGGACGTTAATGTTTCACCAGCAGGCAGCTTTAAGCCTATCGCAGATCACACGACGGGAAGGCATTGATCAGCTTGGTTTACCTCATGACTATGTGATGTAGATTCAACACATTCTCACTCTCCTCCTGTCAAATACATTAAAATATAGGCCCGCTGCAGCCCTACTTAGATATTTTTTAAATAATTCCTGCATAGGACATATACACACACATACATACATACAGGTGCATCTCACTAAATTAGTTTTTTCTTGTGATTGTGATGATTTTGGCTCACATTTAACAAAAACCCACCAATTCACTATCTCAACAAATTAGAATACTAAATAAATGAACATTTCCAAGACATTCTTATTTATTGAGATGCACCTGTATATATATATATATACGTTCTTAGATTAGTATGCATGTAATATAAGAGTAAATCAGGTATAATTGCTCCTCCACACACACTCTGTCCTGTAGGCGCAGCAGCAGCAGATTCCGTCAGACTTCATCCGCTCGGCTCAGGAAGAGAAATCAACCATCTCTCAGAGCACTGCAAATATCACAGGCTTTAAATCCAGAAATCACATTAAGCCTGGGAGGAATACCGCGATCTACGGGAACAGGTATTACAGTCCTGCTGAGTGAGTTTCAACGCTTTATTTATGTCGACTTGTAAAATGACCGGATAGTAGCACAAACTGGAGGCATTACAGTGAAGAAACATGAACACGTTATTTGATCAGAACAGTATTTAAATGACATTTACAGGGGTTTTAGTAGTGGCTAGAATTTGTAATGTGACATTTAAGGACGTGTGTAATTAGACCAAAGCTGCTCTTTCGGCGTGCGTCAGCTAGTTGTATTTCATGCTAGTTAGCCACGCTAGCTCCTTAGCATCAACACATACACTTTAAATGTAATTTTACTGTGAAAAAATACATTTTAAGACATTCGTTCCTTTTTTATACGTAAAAAAAACACGAACGCAGTAAGGAAGGCACGTGGTTGTGATGATTATGTTGGTTGTTTTTGTACAGCACCTTTAGCGAGCTGGCTAATGCTAAGCGCCTAACGTTACTCGCTCAAACACATCAGCAGACGTGTGTTACAGGCTGGCAGAAGCTTTTTTACATCGCCAGGAGGTTTAATAGCTGTACAGATGTTTGCAGCTGTCCTGTCTGGTTCATTGCTGTATCTATGTATTTTGGCAGAAGTACAGTTATCCTGTCTGTCTGAATCCAGCATGACATTGTATTCATATTCATGGCTGTCTGTAATGTTCAGCTGCTATTTATGATCAATATGCATCTTGTTTAAATGGCTGCATCTGTACATTTAACCCTTACATTATCCAATTTTATATGCTAAGAGACAGGACTGTCATGTGTATAGATTTTTGATGCAGAAACATACCACCATTTTGCATCAGCAAAACAGCTGATATTTTAATATACATGGTCTCATACCTTAATTTAGGGGGTTGTCAGACCTGTCATCCAATACATGATCCAAAACTTCAGGCAGTTTACACTTATTTAATGGAACAAAAAACTTAACACTGGTAAATGTGTGCCAGTGTAGCTGTGGACTCCCAAATGTGCTCTTGGTGATCATGCATCCGTGCCACTAAACCAGATCTTTACTGAATAAAAGCGAGGAACGCCATTGCTGAAATGGGGGTTGAGGGGAGAACGAGCTAAACCACCCACACTCTCCCCCACCGTCTGCTTAGACAAGCTAAAATTAGGTCACCACCAGCCCTTGCAGAACTGTTGTGAATCTGAAAAGATGCTGTGTCTACATAATGCAGCCCCTTTTTTTTTGCTTTGGATTTGTTTTACCAAATTAAGAGAATGGATCTGTGTCTTAACATCAGCATTCTGCTTCTTGTTTAATGACTTATCAGATTCCAAAGGAAAAACTGAGTGCTCCTGGATAAGTGCTTTACATCACACATGTCTAATCCTTGCTGACTACATTTGCTTTGTTTCAGTAGGCTGTGAGAAAGCGACGGGCGTCTAAATCATGTTGGCACACGCCAACCTAAAAACACAAGTTATTGTGAAAAATGCTAGGGTGTAATAGATCGTTACCAGGGTGTTGCTTTGTGTTTGCTGGGGTGTTCTGGGTGGCTACTTTACTACCAGCCCAGCCACAAGCCTCTATGATGATTTGGTCCCTATATATGGCTCAATGTAAGTCTATGGGATTTTTTTTTTGGCCTGCCAGGCAAACTCTAATTGGATGAGCCAATGGATTCGAGTCGTGGTTTCTTAATTGCTCTCGAAACTCTGCCTACTGATGGCCACCCAAATATATATATTGCAAAATTATATTTCATTACACGTCATACCATCCAGCCCTGTGATTGCGTGTGCATTTGTAGCTTCCACCCATACGTCATCAGCCTCTTGAATGAGTCGGCTCTTAATTTGATTGCGATGCATCAAGGCATTAATGGTTTTGGTCTTTTGGATTTCCACTTACGAGACAAAGAGGGAGGAAAAAGCATCCATAAGCTTAAATGATCATAGTATACAAAACATCTTGAAATAGGAATGGACTAATTGACAGTAAATACGCCAAACTTGTCTGAAGATTCCAGGAAATGTTTCAAGCAAGCTTCTTAAATCTTAATTAAATTGCTTTGAAATAAATAGCAGTGTATTGATTGCATCGTAATGGATGTCTTGTTTTCTCTTTCTTAAAGGGGATGTTCAGTCTTGCATCGTAAGGAAGATTGCCTTGCCCACCTGACAAATGAGGACGACTCATTGTACAGGGATCATGAGGGCTGCGCTTTCGTGAGGTATGAATGTACATTTCTTTTTAATGTTTCACACGATATAGTTGCAAAGAAAATGTAATCCTTTAATGCTACTGTGTGTTATATAATCACTTGTATCATGCATATTTAATCAGAAATGCATTTTAGTAGGGTTTATATCTTTTGTGCTCTGTGGTACTAAAAGGTCTGCTTTCTGTAATTCTGTATGGGTGTTAATAAATGAATGATTTCCGCCATAAAATCCGGTCCACTTTGGCGCTTATTCTGGCTAAGAACTGTTCTTATTTGTAATCTAGGAATGGGTTTATCCTAAATAGCTGGTCCCAAATTAGTAAATTGGCACTGAAAACTAGGACTGCAAAACTATTAATCGCATTCAAAATAAAAGTTTGTGTTTTAGTGCTGTCAAACAATTAATCGCGAATAATCGCATCCAAAATAAAAGTTTTTGTTTACATAATATATGTGTGTATACGGTGTATATTTATTATGTATTAGGGATGTAACGGTATGAAAATTTCATATCACGATTATAGTGACCAAAGTTATCACGATTATCAAAATTATCACGGTTTTGTTAAAATTAGATGAAAATGTTCAAAAAGAACTGATAGTCAAGTCACCTTTATTTATATAGCGCTTTTAACAATTCAGATTGTGTCAAAGCAACTGAACAGCATTAATTAGGAAAATAGTGTCAATAATGCAAAAGGACAATAGTAAACACTCATTTTTCAGTTAAAGGCAGTTCATCATTGAATTCAGTGATGTCATCATCCAGCTCAGTTCAGTTTAAATAGTATCTGTGCAATCATTTGCAATCAAGTCAACGATATCGCTGGAAATGAAGTGTCCCCAACTAAGCAAACCAGAGGCGACAGCGGCAAGGAACCAAAACTCCATCGGTGACAGAATGAAGAATACACGCACTGAAAACATTTCAGTAAGTTTTATATTTGAAAATCAACAAACAACAAATACAATTAGCAGCTATATGCACTTTTTTTTTTTTTTTTAGCAAAAACATTAAATTAACATTAACATGAAGCCCTAATAATAATAATAATAAATCACATACATATATACACACACACAATGTGATTTCCGTTAGTGATCATGTGATCTTCGGTTAAGAGATCTTGTGATGCTTTTTAAAGCAAAGTTGGGGTTGATTTTGAGTTCACATACAAACATAAATAGAATAGGCTAATTACATTTTTCTATTTTAATGTAAGACAATATATTTTTCGTCAGTGATAGAAATATGATTTAAGACGGTAGTGTAAGCAAGTTTAGTTTGAAAACGTTTAATAGTAAATGACACAATTAGACAATAATATTATTATATATCAATATTAAATATATTAATAATAATAAATATTTATTTGCAACAACTGATGGAGTACTGAATGCTGCATGCACACGCGGCGTTGTCAAGGTAACATTTGGTCAGTCATTCCCTTCGCCAAAGGAGTTCCGAACGCTTATACGAGACAGTAATACCCTGCACCCTTCAAAGAACACACTTCAAGGGCTCTGCCCTTCGAAGGGAGTAGGGCATAGAGATGCTCACTTCTGTTTGGAATTCGCCGCATGTCTCTTGCATCACCGCAGAGGCGCGGACGTGCTCTCTCGTTTCATTCACATGCAGCTTGCCATCTTGCGTCTGTTTTTGATTGTATTGAAAATGAAATCAGAGGAATTTAGTATTAATACTACTATAATTTTGCTGGAGTGGTCATATTGTCCTGACGATTGTTTTGTACACTGTTCATAATGGATTTATAAACGGGTAAGATTTCAAAACATTAATCTCAATTCAATATTTCATATCCCCGTATTTATATATTATTCTAGGTAAACAAAACAAAAAAATCTGTATAATAAATTAACTATGAATATACAATACATTATCCCTTAAATGTCAACCTTATAGTTTGAACGTTCGTTCATCTTGGCTCAAAGCCACTTGCTGAGAACTTTTCTTCGCGGAAGCTTTGCGTTAAACAAGTGAGATAATGAAATATTTAATCTCTAATCAATATTTTTTGTATTAGTATAATATTTATAATATTAGTTTTGGTATTGAGGTAAAAGTTACCTTGCATCCGCTATATAACAGTGGGTGGTGGTGACGAAGATGACTGAGCAAATTTGATGCGTTTTCCCCTTTTGCAGCGACTTTCTTCTTGCAAGATCAGCAGACAGGGTGACCGTGCTCGATTAAATTGCCTTCAGGACTTGTAAAAGCCAAAATACGACCAGACCACCGATTTGGTCCTCTTAGATGGCTGAAAAATCTCCTGTGCGCTGTCACTGCCTTCCGCCATTTATTTTGATGATAATTAAATTTTAAACGGTAATACTAACCGTCAGGGCATTTTATCGTAAAACCGGTAATCGTTCCATCCCTATTATGTATATATAAATACAAACACGTGCATATATTTAAGAAATATTTAATATTTATATATTTATATTAGTGCTGTCAAACGATTAATCGCATCCAAAATAAAAGTTTTTGTTTGCATAATATGTGTGTTCTGTGTATATTTAGTATGTGTATATATAAATACACACACATACAGTATATATTTTGAAAGTATTTACATGTCTATTTATATTCATATCGTTTATATTATAAATATATTAAAAATTTAAGCATAACATATTTTTCTGAAATGTATACATGCGTGTGTGTGTGTATTTATATATACATAATAAATATACAAAGCACACATACATTCTGTAAACAACTTTTATTTTGGATGCGATTAATCGTTTGACAGCACTAATTTATATATAATATAAGAATATGGATATGAATATAAATGTATAAACATGTAAATATTTTCAAAATATACTGTGTGTGTATTTTTATTTATATATATATATATATATATATGCATGCATACACGCATAATAAAATATACACAGAACACATTAGTGTCACGGTACCAAAATTTCAGTATTCGGTACCAATACCAGTGAGAATCCACGGGTTCTCGGTACCAAAGCAAAACACAAAAACATGCTAATTAAAAAATTTGACTACTTTCATTTAATCCAAACTGTGTACATATTTAATTTTAAAGGGCTTTTGAAAACTTAGAGCTATTCAGCCAAGAATAATAACCAAGTAAGCTGAAAAAAAAAAGCCCAGATCTTCTGACTGATATGACACAAACAATTTTAACCATTTGTACATTCTCTAACGCGCATATTTTAGATTCACAATTAATTAAAAAGCCTCTGGTGTGTAAAAATAGTAAATATCATGTCCTCCTGTTTTTTTTTTTTACGTTAATAAAAGTTATAGGAGCATTATATAGTTAATAAAGAAACTTCATTCTAATGCTCATTATATTAGCGTTAGCCGCGCTTATGCTAACGATTAACTACTCTAATAACGGCGTTCATTTCAATCCGACATTCAAATTAAAATTTTATTTAAAAAAAACCTATCGCAATTTCTTTGATCAATTTTGCAATTTCGATTTTAATCACGATTTTGACACACAGAGACATGCTTTACAGTCATTAATGCGTTCAGTGTGAGTTTGAAACATATTTCCAAAAGAAAACCAATTAGAACTTTATCAAAAATCTGTAACATGTCTCTAGAACAGACATAAGGCAAAATAATCACTAAGTAAAGGTGTAACAAAATGTCTCTAGAATAGATATATGGCAGAATATATATACATAATAAATATACAAAGCACACATACATTCTGTAAACAACTTTTATTTTGGATGCGATTAATCGTTTGACAGCACTAATTTATATATAATATAAGAATATGGATATGAATATAAATGTATAAACATGTAAATATTTTCAAAATATACTGTGTGTGTATTTTTATTTATATATATATATATATATATATGCATGCATACACGCATAATAAAATATACACAGAACACATTAGTGTCACGGTACCAAAATTTCAGTATTCGGTACCAATACCAGTGAGAATCCACGGGTTCTCGGTACCAAAGCAAAACACAAAAACATGCTAATTAAAAAATTTGACTACTTTCATTTAATCCAAACTGTGTACATATTTAATTTTAAAGGGCTTTTGAAAACTTAGAGCTATTCAGCCAAGAATAATAACCAAGTAAGCTGAAAAAAAAAAGCCCAGATCTTCTGACTGATATGACACAAACAATTTTAACCATTTGTACATTCTCTAACGCGCATATTTTAGATTCACAATTAATTAAAAAGCCTCTGGTGTGTAAAAATAGTAAATATCATGTCCTCCTGTTTTTTTTTTTTACGTTAATAAAAGTTATAGGAGCATTATATAGTTAATAAAGAAACTTCATTCTAATGCTCATTATATTAGCGTTAGCCGCGCTTATGCTAACGATTAACTACTCTAATAACGGCGTTCATTTCAATCCGACATTCAAATTAAAATTTTATTTAAAAAAAACCTATCGCAATTTCTTTGATCAATTTTGCAATTTCGATTTTAATCACGATTTTGACACACAGAGACATGCTTTACAGTCATTAATGCGTTCAGTGTGAGTTTGAAACATATTTCCAAAAGAAAACCAATTAGAACTTTATCAAAAATCTGTAACATGTCTCTAGAACAGACATAAGGCAAAATAATCACTAAGTAAAGGTGTAACAAAATGTCTCTAGAATAGATATATGGCAGAAGAAAAAAAAATCCCTTGTCCAGGGATTTTATTTTTGCCATGCATTGGTCATAGAGCTCTTTGTGGCATTGCCTCAGATGTTGAACTAGATTTGTTGCGCCAAGTTCACACGTACTCCGTCTGCAGTGCGTATACAGTATGTGTATGCGGTGCAGAAGCAGCACAGACTCATTTTGCTTTCGCACAGGACGCGTTTGCAGTCCGCTCCTGATCCGCCGCTGTTTACCACAAACACAACATTTATCCATTATTTTGATTTCAAATCCAAACGTTGTTTCTGAAAATGCTTTTTCAGCATTGGGATTCTCTTTTATCACAGTACAGCAATACAATCTTTCATAGACATATTCACGTTTAAACTCAATAAATATAACTTTAACTACCACCACGAGTGCCATCTATTATTGCCTTGTTTATCTAAAAGTGCACTTTTCCTTGTTTTAAATCTAGCCTAAAAGCTATGTGTTGACTGTGAAACAGTAGACTTTAATTATATGCATTTATGGTGTAATTACTAAATTTCCGTGTCAATCCATGTTAATTTTTACCACGAATAATGCGCTGTCACTTTAATTCAGCGCGTGCAGCACAGCAGAAATAGACTTCGTGCGGAAACGATCGCAGCATGACTGCAGCACACTGCCGGACTGCAATCGCGTGCCGTGTGAACGCTCTGCTCCGTTAACATGGGTGCGTAAAAACTACGCACCACAGACGGAGTGTGTGAACCTGGCATTACGTTTGTTTGCCCGCCCAGTCTGTTCTGTTCTCGTGCTCCATTTAGGTGCGCTGCATTCTGATTGGTTCGGAGAGCATACTGCAGGAGGTCAGGGGCGCGGAAAATCGGGCTGTAAAGCGATTTAGAAATCGCGCAAGCTCAGATCGCGATTTTTATGACGATTTCGATTAATAGTACATCCCTAATAAAAATATTAAATAATATTCATAACCGAAGCAGTGTTTCTCCCAGACTTGCACTCTGTTTGTGGCGGCATATATATGCAAATTAATTCTCTGCCAGCAGAAGGCGCTTGTAAAGCGTGAGAGATAGGGGTTTCCCCGGTAAGGGCTGTACACAAAGCAGTGCTCAGCTCACAAACGCTGGCATTACAGGCAAGATGAAATGAAAATGACAATCATAATTTTCTGAAGACAGTCGGTTTCCTTCAGAAATACAGTGATATAAAACACCCGCACCGGGTTTCTACTTTGACACGTGCAGTGCTCATGTTTATTCAACAAAGTCAAAGCCTTTTGGAAAATCTATTTGTGGCGGTCAGTTTTGATATTGTGGCGGGCCGCCACAAATAAATCAGTGTATGGGAAACATTACATAAATCTAAATATTAAAAATTACTTTTTCATTTGATCTGGGCGTCTTTAAAGTGTTTTGTTTGGTGTGTTTCCTCGTTTTGATGTCGCTACGTCTTTTATGAAGAGAGCGCATCTGCGCACCTTTCAGATAGCGCATCAAGAACCGGGTTGACCGGGTACTCGGTACCACTGGTACTTATAAAAACGTTTAAATTTTTTTTAGTACCGACTTGGTACTGCAGTACCGGGTCTTTTGACAACACTAGGGCCTTTCGCACCGCTTAAGTTCGCACTAGGAAGTGACGTAAGCCGGTCGACTGTGACATCATTTGTGCACGGCGTTCAACAACAGAAACAAAGAAGAACAACATTAACAACAGGAGGATGGAGGACGCTGTGATCGGAGCTGTGTTTTTGTTGTCTCGCGGGTTTCACAATAATGGACATGGAAAGTCGACGTATACGTAAAGCGATTGAAAGAACGGAAAGGAGGACTAAGAATCTCCAACGACAACTGGCAGTGCTACATTTGCTACAAGTGCCTGCACTTCAGCGTCCGTCCATCTATCGCTGTTCTCCATACTTGCGAAATAAGTTTTAGAATAAGACACAATGCTTACAGTATGTTTACACGGTGTTTTAAATCATGGCGGGGGAGGGGGTTTCGTACGCGGTTGGCCAATCAATGTCTACTTGCGTCACGGGTAGTACCACTTGTGCTGGTTAGACCCTGCTCCGGAGTAAAAGCTAATTTGGTTCTCGAAAAAGGCAGTCCGGTACTAAAATCGCACCCAGTTCCGGCGGTGCGAAAACGCCAAAAAGTGGGTAGTTCCACAATTAGTTCTGGTACTATGAAAAGGTTCCCGCGGTGTGAAAGGCCCTTCTAATACACATGCATATATAATGTAAACAAAAACGTTTATTTTAGATGCGTTTAATCGTTTGACAGCACTATTATGTTTACATACTATATGTGTGTACTGTGTATACAGTGGGGAAAAAAGTATTGTCAGTCACCAATTGTGCAAGTTCTCCCACTTAAAAAGATGAGAGAGGCCTGTAATTTTCATCATAGGTATACCTCAACTATGAGAGACAAAATGAGAAAATCATCTTTTTAAGTGGGAGAACTTGCACAATTGGTGGCTGACTAAATAATTTTTTGCCCCACTGTATGTATTATTTATTTAGAAATACACACATTTATATGTTATAGAAAATATGTTAGATTTATATATAAAATATTTATATTTATAAAAGTATTATATGTATATATACACATACATACAAATGTTTTAAATATATACATGTGTGTTTGTGTATTTATATATACATAATATAGACAGTACACACACAGTATGTAAACAAACTTTTATTTTGAATGCAATTAATTGTTTTGCAGCCCTACTGAAAACATTCAAATATATTCAAAATATGGTGCAGCAGTCTCTTTAAATGGAAATGATTGGCAGAAATGTGTGTAGATTTTGTTTATGTATTGATTATCGTGAATATCTGCTTCCGTTCTCTGTTTACTTGCTACAAAGTGCCAAGTGATACAGTCACAAGCAATCATGGTGTATTTAATGTTAGATATACAGCTGAATGGAAGCTGATTTTGCTGCAATAGCATTTCATTATGGAAGAATAGAAACTGACTGACAAAATGTCTTGTTGCTTGTCACAGCTGGTTAGGACAAAAAACTATTATAGGTGATGTTTTTTGTTACTTGTCGTTTTGATTGTGTCACACCTGCTTTTGGACACTAAGGGTGCTTTCACACCTGGCCCGTTGTTTCGGAACCTGGTGCGTTTCCCCTCTTAGCTCGGTTCGTTTGGGCATATGTGAACATGGCAATCGCGCTCGGATCCGCGCCAAAACAATCGGTCCGAGATTGCCTGAACGAGGTGGTCTCGGCTCGATTGAAAACGAACTCGGGAGCGGTACGGTTGTAGTGAGAAAGCAATCCGATCCAACGAGCCAGGCTATATCACAATGTATGATGGGTAATTACGTAAGTTCCGTGAAAAGCATTTGCTTTGTTGTTTTGCTAATACCTCAAAATTAACCTGTGAATGTCTGTGGGTGAGCACGTCTTCGCCATTCAAAATCAAAGCGCACTTTTTCATTTTATAATGCCGTCTTATTGCTCTTCTTCGTAGTAGGTGCATTTTAAAAATGTTTTCCCGATCAATCCTGGACTCCTGCTAAAAATGATAAATGAATATAACGACAGCAACAAAAAAACAACAACAATAAGCGCACAAAGCTGTTGTCTTTCCATCCTGACAGATGACAGCTGTGACAGCTAAGTGGAATCCCGGAAAATAAACCGTAGATCTTTGACCGATGAAAGAACAGTTTACTCACGCGTGACTTGTATTAACAAATTTGGTCCGTTTAGAAACATTGCCATGTGAAAGTGAACCGCGCCAAGAATAAAAAGCAACATTGTAATCATTTTAATCCCTGTTTCAGAACAAAGTAATCGATCTATAGGTGTGAAAGCACTCTAACTGATTAATGTTTGCCTTCCATTTTGCGGTTTCTCAAAATGAAGTCAGAAAAGAGGTGACATTTCTATCCTTGCATTGTTAATCTTAATGCAAGCTCTAGGCTACTCAAAATGGTTTCCCATTATGCTGGGTTACTAAGTGGGCCGCCACACTTCACAGTGGACCTATATTTTTTTGATGGCACATTAGTAATCTTATACACACAAACACAGACATTGCATTTTTCACTTGATAGAGCCATGTAGGCCTAGTGGCTCTACAAAGAACAAAAAGAAGGTCACCTTTGTACATGCCATCACGTTACGTCTGTATTGTAGCAGGACATTGAGTGCCTCCATGTTCAGCTCAAAATGCCATGTTCATTAAACCTCTATCAGTTTACTTTTAGTGCATCTAAAGAGTTTTTTCAATTGAATCTGAAACCTACATTTTAACGCAAGTACCACAAAGAAACTCAAATAATACATTGGTTAAAATCTTTTTGAGGCCTGCTTTCACAGTTCTTCTGTTCTTGTGCTGCTTTTAGTGTTTAAGTTAAAAATGGCCAACAGAGGCTATAAGTTTTTATTTTCATCCTGTTGTACTTCCAGTTCTTCTCATGCATCTCTGTCTCAGAGGCAGTTGGCTGCAGCGGAGTGTACTGGCAGAGTTCTCACAACATTCTCTTCCTTCCTGCCTGCTTAATTTCAGATATCAAAGGATTCTGGTAATGTGCCATGGGGTACGACGTCACCAGGTTCCAAGGAGAGGTGGACGAGGATCTGTTATGTCCCATCTGCAGCGGGGTGCTGGAGGAGCCAGTGCAGGTCGATATTTATTTTCATTCGACCGCAACATCCTAGAACACCTTGAGAAAGTGACATAGACAACATTATGAGTTTGTGGTTATTAGATATCATTGCTCCAAGATCATTGTGTGAATGTGTTTCCCAAGGGTTCAAAATTATCAATCAATCAAAATCAGTGATAATAGTAATAAAATAATAATATAACAAAAATAATACTTTATTATTATTATTCAATTAGTTATTTTATTAATTAATAAAAAATAACAGTATTTTTTATTATTATTAAATCAGTTATTTGATTAATAATATTATTAATAATAACTAGTGCTGTCAAACGATTAATCGCATCCAAAATAAAAGTTTTTGTTTACATAATATATGTATGTGTGCTTTGTATATTTATTATGTATATATAAATACACACACATGCATGTATACATTTCAGAAAAATTTTATGCTGATATATTAAATATATTTATGGAATATATAAATTATATGAATATAACTATAGACATGTAAATATTTTCAAAATATATACTTTGTGTGTATTTATATATACATAATAAATATACACAGAACACACATATATTATGCATAAACAAAAACTTTTATTTTGTATACGATTAATCTCGATTAATCGTTTGACAGCACTAATAATAACATTAATAATAGTAAAATGACAACAATAGAAATAGTAGTAAAAGTTAGTTATTTTATTCATTTTTTAAATATATAAATTACTGTCTTTACCAATGGATTTTTGTTCTTTTTTTTTTTTTAAACATCGAAACAAATACACTGTGCAAAATGTCTGAAAAATGCACTTCAGCAAGAAAAGTCAGTAGGCACTGAGTTCAGGTTACACCCTGATCAATCTGTCTGTTCTCTCAGGCCCCGCATTGTGAGCATGCTTTCTGTAACGCCTGCATCACACAGTGGTTTGCACAGCAGCAGATCTGTCCTGTGGACCGCTCCGTGGTGACTCTTGCCCATCTTCGACCCGTTCCCCGAATCATGCGTAACATGCTTTCCAAGCTGCAGATCTCCTGTGATAACGCCGGCTTCGGCTGCACGGCCACTCTTCGGCTCGACCAGCTGCAGTCACATCTCAAGGACTGCGAGCACAACCCTAAACGACCCGTCACGTGTGAAGAAGGCTGCGGGTATCTACCATATTTGTCTAGTTCTCACTTAACCCACTCATGTGCTGTATGCATGTGTTTGACTGTAGTTCCATGTTCTTTTTCAGCTCTACATCACTCCGTTTTTGAATGCAAGAATACATCCTGTGTGAACAGCCCTTAATTGTCTTCAATGTCTGTTTGACATATCACAATTGCTTTTTTACTCTGCAGGTTAGAAATGCCCAAAGATGAGATGCCCAATCACAAATGTATTAAGCACCTACGCAGCGTGGTGCAGCAACAGCAGACCAAGATTGCAGATCTAGAGAAGACTGCAGCTGAGCACAAGCACCAACTTGCAGAACAGGTCAGACCTGTGTGTTTTATGTTTTATCATGAGGCTGCGTAAATGTCACTGTCACGATGTCACGTGAATTTATTTGAATTGTAACATCTTGGATTCTCTGCTCTGATCAGCACACACCACACTGCTTTTAATATTCTCATGATTTCTGTTATTCAGAAACGTGACATCCAGCTCTTGAAAGCTTACATGCGAGCGATACGAAGCGCTAACCCTAACTTACAGAACCTGGAGGAGAGCATAGAGTACAATGAGATCCTAGAGTGAGTGAAATATTCTTCTCATATATATTTATAAATTCAAGATAGATGTTTAACGGTTTAAAATCTTTGTAATGTATTTTTTTTACAAAGAAAAAAATATTTGTTTTTCTTTGTATATGCATATTTTTTTGTACTTTGTACTTTATATGTATATGCAGCAACATAGACTTAATTTATGACCTAACATGTGTAATTAATATATTTTATTTATTTATTTTTAATAGGTCTCTTATAGTCACCATGGATGCATTTATTTAACCTTTTGTCATTGCGCGGACACCAATAATGTAAGTTCAGCTATTCTGAAATGTATCTCCAGAGCTATTGTGTGTCATCTGCTTCAGTGTTACATAGACCTGAATGCTGATAGCGTTGTTTACAGTAGCTTTTTTGCAAATGTTCAATGAGCTGAAACTAAGGACTGAGAATGTTTTACTCTGCAATATTCAGCCAGGTCTTTGTGTGAATTAGGGAGAAATGTCTGTGAACTTTGCCTTATCACACTTCATTTGATGCTTCACTGCATGATCGCTGTGTAACTTGTCACATGGCTTCTCTGCACAATGTCTCACAATCGCACCCTGAAGCTGGAGAGTTTAAACATGACCCAGTGTGTTTCACTTCTTGGTTCTGATGGATCTGATCACCTTCCGTATCATTCATAAAAATAAAAGTTCAAATTTTTGCGTTCGATTCATCATCTCTTACTGGACACGCAAGACTTTCTAGACTCTCAGGTTTTATCATCTGACAACAGGGATGAAACGTTCGAAGAGCTCATGTTTCCCGCTGCAGCATTGTCCGTGGATGTGGCATTCTTCTGTTTGTTTGTTTTTGTCTTTTATTCTTGCTTTTGTGCCGTGGGTTACTGACAGAATATGAATAAATATCAATGATTTTGCAATACGACACTAGTGTCTTTGTCTTTATTATTAACATGGTAGCAGGAGCGTCTTGTTGGTTGTGTTGTTTACATCAGCTGTTTTAAACCACAAAAACATGCAATGCTAACCAGAACAGAGAGCTTACTTCATGTTTTTGCTGTTTTTCCTCTCTTCTACCACAGAATGTCACTAAAGTGCAATTTAACTGTTAAAATGAGCAGTCCGTAGAGTTTTAAAGAATTTCTGTTGCCATATGCCGTCATTTTGAGCTGAATTAACTTCTTATTGCTATTTGGTGACCATGTAGTCACTTCTATCTGCTGATCTCTGTTCAGTGTTTTGAGGCCAAACAGCATACATATTCACAGGCACGCAGGAATGATCCTCCTGTTGTTGGTATTTTCTTTGACCAGCCTGTAGCCACTAATGCAGAAAGTCATTTTAATTCAGCCCGTTATAGTACCAGTGAGGATAGGAATGTCACATTGTTTTTCTAGCAGCTCTCATTACCAGCTCCTGCTCCACACGAAATACACTAACTGCTCACACTTTTGGTAATAAGATTTTCTTATGGTTAGTGTATTGCATGTACAGTACAGGCGGGTCCAGAAGTATTCGGACACTGACTGAGTTTTCCACTACAATGGATTTGAAGTAAAACAATCAAGATGTGATTGAAGTGCAGCTTTATTTTAAGAGGTTCCACAAAAATGACATTTACCATTTATCATTTACAGCCATTTTAGGCAAAGTACCTCCATTTTCAGGGGCTCAATAGTATTTGGACAAAGTGACAATTGTAAATATAAGCACAATTTTAATACTTGGATGAAAATCCTTCCTGGAGATGATTTGCCATGTCTTCACTGCAGCCATCTTGAGTTGCTGCTTGTTTGTGGGCCTTCAGTCTTGTCTTCAACTGAAAAGCATGCTCTATTGGATTGAGATCAGGCAACTGACTTGGCCATTGAAGAATATTCAATTTCTTTGCCTTCAAATAGTCTTGAGTTGCTTTCGCAGTCATTATCCATCTGCACTGTGAAGCTGCGTCCTATCAGTTTTGTAGCATTTGGCTGAAAGGGAGCAGTGAGTATAGCCATAAAGACCTCAGAATTCATCCTACTACTTCGGTCAGCAGTTACATCATCAATAAACTCCAGTGAGCCCGTTCCATTGGCAGCCATGCATGCCCATGTTTGACACTTGAAGGGGTGTGCTTTGGATCATGAGCTGTTCCTTTCTTTCACCATACTTTTCACTTCCCATCAGTTTGGTACAACTTAATCTTGATTTCATCAGTTCAAAGAATCTTATTCCAGAAAATGGGAGGCTTTTTTTTTTGTTGTTGATTTTTTCTGGCAAAATAATACCCTCTGTATTTACATTCATGAAGGCGTCTCTTGATTGTACATTTTGACTGATGTTCCTACCTCCTCCAGAGTATTCCTGATTTCTGTTGATGTTATGAAGGGGTTTTTCTTCACCAAGGAAAGGATTCTGCGATCATCCACTTTAGTTATCTTCCATGGTCTTCCAGGCCTCTTAATGTTGTTGAGCTCACCCATGCTTTCTTTTTTCTTAAGAATGTAGCCAACCGTTGATCTGGCCACACCTAAGGTTTTTGAAATCTCTCTTTTTTTATGTTGTTTTTTCTGCTTAATGATGGCCTCCTTCACTTTCATCGGTATCTCCTTGGACTTCATATTGGTAGCACCATTCAAACAGCTTCCAAATGCCAATTTGATACATTATATCAACTCCAAATCTTTTATCAGCTGAATTTGTCTTGAAGTAACGAGGAATGGACAGCACCTGGTCAATTAACCTCTTCTTAGTCAACTATCCAAATACTATTATTGAGCCTCTGAAAATGGAGGTACTTTGCTTAAAATGGCTGTCAATGATAAATGGTAAATGCCATATTTTTGTGGAACCTCTTAAAATAAAGCTAAAAGTGAGCACTTCAATCACATCTTGATTGTTTTATTTCAAATCCATTGTAGTGGTGTATAAAGGAAAAAGCCCAAAAACTCAGTCAGTGTCCGAATACTTCCGGACCTGACTATATCTATCCATATCCATCTCCATCAACTAAACTTTCATCTTTCAACTAAACCAACAAAATGTGATGATAACATATTTTAATTAGGAGAAAATGGAGGTACTTTGCCTAAAATGGCTGTAAATGATAAATGGTAAATGTCATTTTTGTGGAACCTCTTAAAATAAAGCTAAAAGTGAGCACTTCAATCACATCTTGATTGTTTTATTTCAAATCCATTGTAGTGGTGTATAAAGGAAAAAGCCCAAAAACTCAGTCAGTGTCCGAATACTTCCGGACCTGACTATATCTATCCATATCCATCTCCATCCATCCATCTATCTATCTATCAATCATCCATCTGTCCATCCCACTATCTATCTAGTTAGGATTTTATTCTGATAAAAAACAGTTAAACAGTTTTGTTTCATGTCTCCCTAATAAAGGAAATGGTCCTTAATCCCTTTCAAAAAAGTAAGGATTTGATTGGAGCTTTTACAATCTGGTACCACAAATTCCTGTATCAGTTAATCGGGCATTTGGCAATCAAATATATTGCAGTTTAATTATGTGATAACTTTTGCTCAATCTAAAAGTACAGATATAAATACAATCACTCAGATGCCAAACATCATACTGAAAATAATGGCATTTGATGGCGACACTTTTAATAGTTTAAATGTCACACCACCCTATTGATTGTCCATGTGTAACTAAAATTTTAATAAGTGCTTATACTATCTATCTATCTATCCATCCATGCCTAGAGTTAGTGCTCGATGAGAAGCAGTTCATACACACACACACACACACACACACACACAGCATCTGATCAAAGTGCATCATTCAGCTCAGACACATGAGTGCGGGCGGTGCTGTGACTCTATGGGAGTGTCACTCACAGTTAGGCGTGTTCACTTCACTGTCAGTTCTCCACCGGACAAACACAGCTAAACGCTTTCTCACAGACGAAGCTGGTTCTGCCTTCGTCGCCACCTATTTATTAATCTTCTAAGCGCTGAAGCAGTTTTCGAAGTGCATCTGACACTGGCGATTTTGCTCTTGGCGTCTGTTTTAAAGATAAGACAGAATCACTAACCGGCTGCTGCGGACCTCAAGGCTATTAAGGTAAGTTAACACCAACGCTTATTTATTTTTGTGGTAGAACGAGTGAGTTTTAAAGAAGTGACGACCGTTTAAACAGTAACAGTGATTTTGTACTGTGTCGCATGTAGTTTTTACGCATGACTTCTTACGGTAGAGACTCATAAGGTTGCGTCTCAAAACCTCTGACTGTCCAAAAAGCTTGTTCGAACGTTTGTAGCGATGCCCAGAATGCAGTCTAGTTAACGATGGGAATCGTTAGGAATTTAATGATTCTACATTCGAGTCGTCTTGAGGAGTTCGGTTCCATAACGCTTCCAATTAGAATTCCTTTCTTTTAGTAGCCTACTTTGAAAAAGAAATGTCTTTTTAAAGATCCTTATTAGAGTTACTGCCCTCAACAGTTGTTAGGAAATGATAAGATAATTCCAGGTTTCTGTGCGTTTAACAAATGCACAGAAGTACATTTAATACAATGTTATTGTGAAAGGTATTGTTTACGTAGACTTTTATTCACAGACTTTTCCAGAGGCAGCACAAATGCAGTCCGATAACTGGTTCTAAATATTACATACAAATACTAAACCAACAAAATGTGATGATAACATATTTCAATTAGTTCTTAATTTTTATAAAAATAAGTTCAATATGTGTATCTCAGATTCAGTTGTCAATAACTCGTGATGTTAACATAACATGATGATGAAATTATTAAGTTGCGGTTCAGTAAATGAGTAATACAATTGCTCCTGATTCGTAAGTGTTTCTGATTTACTAAAAGTATCGGTTCATAAGATTCATTCTTTTGACAGGTAGTCTGCATTTGTCGCGCTGTATGTTTATGATTCATTAAAAAGAACCGGCTCATATGAGTCATTTGTTAGGGAATCGGACTACTGTTTGCTGTTTGTTTCGGACTGTAAATTCATGCGGTGAATAGTAGTGCAGGAAACGTGTAGTTTTTAGCATTCCGTTCCAAATAAATGCTTGTTAACTCATCCGAACGTAACGAAAATGATTCGGTTTAGGTATTTTAGTGAGCTAAAGATAGACAGCTCACTAGATTTTGAGACACAGCCTAGGTGTGTGATTCTGTCATGTTTTGTAATGCACAGACCAGTCTATTTTTAATTGTACCAGTTAACTGCATTTTGGTGGTTTTCCTCTTTGTGTTGAAGTTGTTGACTCGGGTTGTTGTCAAATGTTTTGTTATTCTCTTTCACTGAACTATTTGCATAGACTGGATCCCGAGTCATACTTAAGTGCTTGGAAACTTAAAATGTGCTTAAGAAGTTTTTTACTGTTTAAAAATACAAAGGCTTGGTTCGCCAATGTAATTCATAGAATACCATGCGGGGGGAAAAACATATTAAGGTGTTTTGCTGGTCTTAGGTGGTTTAGGATGGTCTAACTGGTCTCCCAACTTGAGTAGTCTAATTTTGGGTAAGGTGGTCTCCCAGTCTGACCAGTCAAAAAAGTTCCCCATACCCCCTCATAACCGTCAAAGCAACCTGGTTTAAGATGTTTTATTCAGCAGTGTACCATGACACTAAATATTTGTACCTTTTTTGCTTCTTATGTGCTATTTGACACATCTGATTAAATACTTGTCGCATTCTCTGGATTTTTTCTCTTGAATTGTTTATTTTACTGTTATCTCTTCACTAAATGCCTGCATTTCAACGCACTTCTGTTTACTGTGAACTGATTATGTAATTTAAGTTCATCCTGTTTCATCACCATAAGAGATTTCAACTCTTCCAGTTCGACAGGTATCACATTTATAACAGACTGGAAGCATTTTAGTTCGGGTCACGTCATGAGTCACGACAGTTGAAGCAAAGGGTTTTGAAGTGTTCTTTCAGTTCCCCTGCGTTTACACCTTTTTGCCAAATTACTTACAAAGTCAGTCATTCTTGTTTTTCCACTCTTGTTTCTGCTGTCGTTAACAAAACATATCTGTCTCAGTGCAACATGCTTATATTTTAGTTTGCGGTTTTGTATCTCTGACTCATTTGAAAGCCTATACTAAATTTGTGGATGTCCCTGAAGAAATTAAAAGTCCTAATTTAGTCCCAGATTCTCTCTGGAGCTCTTGGCTTAGCTTACCTGATAATGGTAACTCATTCTCTGAGGAATCTCTAGCCTTATGGGCTTGGCTAGAAAATCACAGGTTTGGTTTACTGTCGTCCCAGTAATCTCCTGCTTTTATAACTCATGAGCCGAGCAGTGAAAACTGGACTCAGGAATAGCCCGTCTGTCCTAAAGCGCAATCATGATCTAACCATGTTTATGCAACCGAAACAGACGAAGGTCTAGCTTTGTGAATGGAATGTGGGTCAATATTCACTTGACCACAAATGTACTCACTTTTAACAGGGCAAATGGTAAGTACTTATTAATCTCTAATAAGTGAGGGAACAAAAACTGGATATTGCTGATCCAGATAGCTTGTGCATTCCCACATTTCCATTCAGTGGTCAGTAAAACACCACCATCTTCTTTGGCTTTTGCAGAATAGTTGCAAATCAGAATGGTACAGATTTATAAGAATATCAGGGCTGCAGACAAAAAAATTAGGACACAAAACTGCCAAATCAAATCAAGTCTCACAAATGTACTAATAAAACAAGCACATCACAGTATTGGTTCCTAGTTCTTAATGAAGAATCACTTTTCTTTTACAATAACAAAAAGTGATTCATTGTTCAGTCAAGGAGTCATTTAATGAATTAACAACTTAGAATGATTCACTGAGTGAGTGAGTCTGACTCATTCGTGAGTTGCTGTTTCGCGAATCTTTCAACTGACACTGTCACTGTTTGTTGTGCTGTGAAACACTGGCACTGCCAAATAAGACTATATATGATGAAATGTCAAATTTAGTCAAAAGCTACAAGCTACGCAATATCGCGTTCATAACTGCAGATGAATCGCCTGTGATTATGAACACGATATTGCGTAGCTTGTCAGTGAACAACAGCTCTGTGTAGTAAATGCCGCTCCATCTGAACGCACGTGATTGAGATTTACTACTAATCACAGAACTGATAGAACACTTTACTGACGAGATGCGCATGACAATCGCATGCGATTAATCATGCAGCCCTCCCATATTTACCTCACTGTGTTGGAAGATTTGCGTAACACCACTCAAATGTTTACGCAAAGAAAGAAGGTGTAACTTTTATTCTCACTGTAGTATTGTTGCTGCCGCCGCTGCCATTTTGTGGAGATGCTGTGTGTTTCCAAATATGGTAAGGGGTGTAACATTTCCGTAACACGCTTGAGGTATTCGGCCAGTCACAACGCACTGGATAGTTGGCCAATCAGAGCACACCGCTCTTTTCAGAACGATGAGCATTGTAAAATCAATGTGTTTCAGAAAGGCGGGGCAAAGAGGAGCAACAGTAATGTGTTTTTTGAACATTAAACCGCGTAAGCATATTGCATTACACCAAATATACAAAATAATGCTATTTTTAGCATCGTCATATGACCCCTTTAAAATAAAATTATTTTAGTATAATTTATCTTAAATACACAATTTTTATTGTAAGTGTAATATATATTAGTAATATTACACTCTAAAAAAATGCTGGTAAAAAACAACCCAACTTAGGTTATTTGGCAACCCAGCGCTGGGTAAATATTGGACAGAACACATGCTGGGTTATTTTGACCCAGCTGGTTGGGTTAATGTTTTTACCCAACATGCTGGGCTGTTTTATTTAAGTCAGCTATTGTTTAAAAATTATTATATTGCTGCCTTAAAATGGGCTGGAAATTAAAAATCACACACAGAATTACTATAGGCAACAGCTATAATCAAAAGGTGAACATTTATCATTAAGCAAGAACACATGGACAAAATACAAGACAAATTGAATTGATTTGGGTGAATACAGCATAGTTTACAATATTGCATAGGCCTACATTTAAACTCGTTTAACAAGCATTTTAGAAATAAAAAAAATTTACATTTAAAAGTATTCAAGTAAAATACTTGTAACATTTAAAAGTATAAGTGTATTCAACCGTTCTCTGTAATCACTTTTTACCAAAATAGTGCTAATTCTCTTGCCGGTGTGCCACCGGAATCTGAGCCGGTGAAGGGCTGCTGTTCGCCAGGGGAACTCGTAGTTGAAAGATGCCGTGACTGACTCCATAACCTGCCTATAAACAAACAGTGCTGAGATTAGAGAACATATTTTAACATCAAATTAAATTAAACTCAGTATTATAATTAATAAAATCCATTTTTTTTTGCAAGGCAAAATGCATTTCCATCGTGTGAAAGGACCACTGCTAACGTAGCTGACTGACATCTTGTCCTTATGTTGCGTTGCGTAAAATAATGCAATCTACGGCACAGTAAAGACTTTATAAATGAAATAAAATGTATAAAAACCTTGATTTCACTGACGAAGTGCACCAAATCGGCAGCAGTGCTGAGAAACGCTCTCTCCTATAGAAGACTCAAAAAGACTGCGCACTGACTGTAACTCAGCAGCTGGGTTATTTAGTTGGAGACAGGCTCAACCCAGTGGTTGAATAGAAAAAATGACCCAGCAACTTACAGAAAAACTATCTAGCACCTGGGTAAAAACTATTAAAGTGCCCCTATTATGCCATTTTTACAGTTCCTAATATTGTTTTGGGAGTCTCCTACAATAGGATTACATGCGTGCAAGGTCAAAAAGCACTTTTGTTTTCTCAAAATATGCATTTAATATCACCTCATTTTCCAGCGATTCTGTAAACGATTCATTCGAAGCAGTTAAAAGATTCAGTCTCTCTAAACCCCTCCTTTCCGTGAGCCTGCTCTGCTCTGATTGGTCAGATGGCCTAGTCTGTTGTGATTGGTCTACAGCATACAGCTTTCGGAAACAATATGCCTATTTCAATAGTTCTGTATTTTGAACGCTCTATAGAAAATATAAATATCTATTATTTATCATACTTACAGGTTGTGATTCAGTGGAGCAGCTGGTCCAAATAAACAGGATACTGATCCATCTTTC